GAAGAAGTTACGTAGTATTGTAAAGGAGGTATAGTCTTATATGATACACAGCTGATACAGAAAATGGAGCATAAAAACAAGAGGTGTGAATTCAGGGTAGCACAGCAGCAATAATTCCAGACTGAAATAGCTTGTGTATTGACCAAAATCAAAATTTTCTTTCATGTCTTATCACTTCAGAAAGTATACTACCAATATAATTTAATATGAAAATCAGATGCATTATTTATTTATTTATTTAAATATTCTCATGAAAACTTAAGTTCTAAACTGAAAGTAGTATGAGCTTAAAATATTATAAACATTAGTTATGTACTAAGTGAAAGCCTAGTATATGGATATCTCTTTCTTGGCATTGGTTTATGTGATTTTAGTTTTTAATTGTTAAGGTCACAGCATCCAAATCACAAAAATATAAAACATTTTAAATAAGACCCCTACATCCAAAACCAAAACACCTGCTAAGCATTTTACTTCCTTGATAACTCTGAGGTAGCAGGTTCACAATAGCTCTCTCAGAATATGACATTGTTTGTCAACATATGAAATTATTTAATATTTTTCAGGTTCTTCATTATAACTGATACATGATGATTAGTGAAATCAATGACAAAACCATCAATGAAAACTAGCTTTTGCAAGATAATTTGATTCCATGTGGAATAACAATCATTACAAGTTAAGATTAAAAAAAACCTAATTTAATTGTGTTGGTGACATCATTATAAAGATATATGGTATTAAATTCATTTTGGTAATAGTTTAATTTTATTAGAGACTTTTTATTCCTCTGATGCACAATATATTAGATACTTGGGCAATTTCTTATCTACCTTTACACACAGATATATTTTGTTTACATGGCTCTAATGTTTACATGGTTCCAATACTTCAAGTTTATTTAATGCTAACCTTGTGTACTGCTGAAAAGGTTTAAAAGTGAAACAGCTCTACCACTGAAATGCTATAATCCCACAGCAATGGTTACTGCATGGTCATTTTTAGAAAGTGGAAGAACAATCAAGTGACACAGCTTTGTCCAAGGGGTTTCAGAGACTGTCTTACTTTACACTATAAGTTACATTTTCTGAATTAAAAGCAAAAATCTACTACTCCACTTAATTAAAACATGGAAAGGCTATGTGAATGGTGCATGCAGAGCAGATCCAGTGCATCTTATGAGACTTATGAGATGGTAAAAACCGATCTACAAAGCTTCTTAAAGTATTAGTCAAAAATTACTGGTCGTGGAGACTCAAACAACTCTGTCATGTAATCTTCAGTATGCAGAAAGGTTCAGTGCCCTTGTTCCCGTAATAAAGACTTATCTGCCCATGAAGACCTAGGCATTCCTGAAAGCACTGCACTAGAACAAGGTGAGAGGAAATGTCCTCCACTTGTGCCAAGGGAAAATGCCATTTGATATTAGGAAAAATTTCTTCACTGAAAGGGTGATCATAGTGTGGAATCACCATTCCTAGAAGTATTCAAAAAACATTTAGATTTCATACCTGAGACATCGTTTAGTGGTGAAGATACCAGTGTTAGATTAATGGTTGAACTGGATGATCTTGTCTTTTCCTGCTGTAATGAATCTGTGATACTATAACTGTGTGCCTCAATTCCTACCTTGCATCTTAATCTCAGGAGAATTTAAAATTTGTTTAATGCATCCTGAAAAGATGTCACAGATATCTGTTGTATCCTGTTCCCTAAAGTGCAAAAAAGAAGACTAGTCACATTTAAAAAAAAAAAAAAGGTGGTATTTTTTTCCACAATTAGCATATGAGAAATTATTTAATGATTTCTGTTATGGTAGAACAGTTAGCCATTGAAATATGCTTTGCTGCTCCAAATGAAATGAACCTCAAGGAGTTAAAACATTATCTGGGAAGATTTAACATTCATTAGTCAGTTCAGGAAGTGCTAATAAGTTGAAGGAGAAAGTTTTAACCTCTGCAGATCAAAAACCTGGATTTTATATATATGTCAGAATTATATATATTGCAATTATATTCTATACAAGGATATATATGGTATATTTATAATATATATTACATATATATATGTATATAACATAATATAAAGTTATTACGTTCTGCAATACTCATGCCCAAGTAACATGAAATTTATGTAAGTCCACATGTTTAGAAAAAGGGATTTGAGCTTAGGTGTTTTGTCTGAAAACTTTGTTTGATTCTACAATCAGTACAGAGGCTGGAATAAGTTCTCTTTAAGCATGTATGCAAATAAAAAACAACTTAAGATGACCAAAAAAACCCTTACTCAAATCTAAATTTATTGTTCTGAAGTTAAAGCTCCTGCTTGGAATGTTATTCTTAATAAATCAAGTTCTTTGGATTCATGAAATGTGTTGCACCATCACAATGCTACTCTATAGTATTAGGTCTTTGGATTAATATGCTATTGCAAAGTTTGATGTTGGTTCCTATTAAGAGGTACAGTTATTTCTTTTTTTCATAATGGGATTTAATGTCAGTTGAACCAGGCTTAATTAAACCTTGTCTTATAAATCATTTAATTGAGAAGTGCAATGAAATCTTGTGAGTTTCATGACTTTTTAATTAAAATTAAATAAGCCAGTTTATGGTTAAGTGCCTCCCTACAATCTAGTTTCCTTACATTTCCAAGCTATTCTAAAATGTTCTAGACACACAATTTAAACTTTATCGGGAAGTAATGGCTTAAAACCTCATTCCAGAAAAATCTACATTTTTAGGGACCTATTGACTTTTATTGTAGCAATTTTAAAAAGAACTGAGTCATGTTTTGATCCAATTATCATTTATGTTAAGGTAGCTTAACAGCATGGTTAATATAGGTCATGACCACATATACATCTTTGATTTTCTGTTGTGTAAGCATCCTATATATGTTGAGTTAAAAAGTAGCACATTGAAACTTAAGTTATACATATCAAACCATTCATACTTATAATAAGCATAATTTTCAACTTTGTCAAATTTATTCTATCTGCACTTACGCATTTTATCTGTAATTACACATTTCAAGGAACTTCTGTCTCATGATTTTGTCATGTATGTGTCTGCAATATTCGTCTTTGCTGCCTTATATAAAATAATATGCAGTTAATTTTTAATAAATATGTTTAAACAGTACATTTCAAAAAGTATTAATTTGGAGAATTAAAAGAAGAGTTTCCTTCTATTGAGTAAGTCAGGCAAGGACAGCATGTGACACGCAAGAGCCAGAGTACAATTCTATTGTTGTAAGTCTTACACATTATTTTCTTGTATTTGTTATAATGCCTTATATTTCAGTTTTTGATGACCAGTCAGTATTTCCCTGGTTCAGACAAAATCAAGCAATTATAGGCAGCATTGATTGGATTTGCATGTGCTAAAAGCTGAATTTAGAGGGTTATCCACTTCTCTCAGTTTTGATGTTCTTAGATTTGAGTCTTTGACTGATGTGTTGTTATTCTTTCCCACTTCTCATCTTAAAAATTCATTATTATTTTTCATAAATTCGATATTGCAACTTACCGTTCCCAATATTGCTTTTTACATTTTCAGTTTACATTAAAATATAGTTGTGGGGTTTTTTTTGTACCTCCAGTATTCAATTACTTCACTTTCTGTCTATAAATTGAGAATATGAAAACACATTTACAATTTCTCCACAGAGATAAAGCACCCTAAAAGAAATATTTGGAGAAAAATATCTGTAGAATTGTGATTCTACTTTGTCCTGTTGATGTAGAATAGGTAGTTCAGGGAGTGCTTAATTCAGTCCTTAGGATTCAGACAACTAAATGCAACACTTTTATGGGGGGTTGTTTGTTGTTGTTTTTGTTTTGGTTTTTGGTTGTTTTTTTTTTTCATTTTATTTTGTTTATATGTTTTATTAGTTTATAGGGGATTTTTTTAAGGTTTTTCAGTTATTCCTATTTTTATTTGTCCTGGTTCTGTCCAGGACAAGGTTAGTTTTTTTGCAGTAGCCAGGAGTGGGACATAACTAGGACACAGACGTCTGTAAAACCTTATGTCATTGCTGGGAGTGGGGGAGAAAGGTCTCTCCCAAGGGAATGGGTTCTTTCTGGTCAAGTAAACACGACAGAGGGATCCATCTGGTGTTGTCTGTTGAGGATAGGGGGAGTAGGTGTGAGGGCTGTGGTTCTGTGTGAATAATTTCCTTTCTTGTCTCTGTCATTAGTATAGTTGCTGTTACTCTTTGTTTTCTTGGCTCATTCCTGTTTCCTGTAATTTATTCCTATATCAACCAGTTAGCTTTACCTTTTGTGCCTCCAATTTTCCTCTCCAGCCCACTGCAGTGTGGAAGGGGGAGGGAAAAAGCAGGAGAGAAGGAGTGTCAGTGGTTTGGAGGGTCTCAGTGGGGCACTGAACCGGGGAGTACCATTCCTAAACTGCAATAGTACAATAGTTTTCAATACTTTGAGATCCTAATTACTGTAAACTATTTGCATGATAGCTGGATATTAAAAATCTGTTCTGAGCAATGTAAAAAAAATAAATCCTTAATTCATGATGTTGATTGTCCCCTCAGCCTTGTCATATATGTAGATGGAAATCTAGATATTTTTAATATAACTATGTGACTGACAAGGTATTTAAGGAATAGTGAAAGAAAGACAGTGAAAATATCCAGGAAAATGTAGTATGAGCATGTAAAGACTTACTATATATTTAATGTGCTCAATTACAACTGAGTTTATAAAAATTTCAAACAATAGCCTTTGTTAATTCTGACAATTTTTAATTATGATATAATCATATAATCCTCATTGTTTTCAAAATATATTTATATGTGAACTACAACTATAGCTGTTGAACTCTAATAATTTATGTTTTGTTTTTCTCTTGAGCTGCAAGGATATGGCAGAGCATACCCATATCTGGGTATGGCAGATACTGACTAATCCTATGCTTTATTAGCTTTAACATGCTTTTTAATTTTTTTGCAGTATTACTGAATCTGAAATACTTTTTTCTTCTCAGGAGAATATAATGGAAGTTATAAGAAATCAAGAATTTTTACTTCTACCTGCCGAAGAACTCCATAAACTTCTTGCCAGTGATGATGTGAATGTTCCTGATGAAGAGACCATTTTCCATGCCTTAATGATGTGGGTGAAATATGATATGCAGAGGCGATGCAATGACCTAAGTATGCTGCTTGCTTATATCAGATTACCACTCCTTCCACCTCAGGTATTTTTTAAATTATGTAATTATCACCATCACAACAAGAACGTCATTGTTATTGTGTCCTTGTGAAAACTCTATCAGTTTACAGACTGCAACTTCTGAATACTCTGTGTGTTTAAAAACAAACCTGTTCAGCATCAGAAAAAATTAGTGATAACCTTTTACCCAGGATGATCTCAATAAACTTGAGGATTGGACCAACATATTCACAAGAAGGGCAGAATTGTGAAACTGAAGAGGAGTAACTGCACATTTCATAACTTCCTAAGACAAAACAGGCAGATTAATAAATATTCTCAGAAAAACCAACAGAATGTAAACAGAACAAGCAAACCAACAACAAAAAAAACCCCCAAACACGTGGGATTTGTACAGCTACCTGGCTGGAGATGAGTCAACACTATGAATTAAGAAAACTCTGTGTTGTTTTACAACACAAAAAATTCTGTCACCAGGCAATATGAAGTTACTATTCCTATAATACCTGGCGCTGCTAAGTCTGCGCCTACACAATTGTTTCCAATTTTGTAATCCATTATTTGAAAGGCATAGGCACAAACTGGAGAAGGTTCAGGGGTTGGCTACCAAGATGGTAGGTCTAGAATGGAGAAGCAGAAGTGGGATTGTTCAAACTAGTGAAAAGAAGGCTAAGCAATGACCTAATAGCAACTTAAGACCTGAAGGTAAGATCATGGAACCACATTCCTGGGCACACCAAAAATGTAAGAGACAAACACTCTTAACTTGTAGATGGACAGTTCAGGTTAAACATTGACTGAGGGAGGAATTACTTGGACTGCAATGAACAAATACCGCGGTGTTTTTAAAGGTCAGGTGTGCTTCTTCATTGAAGGTTTTCCTGAATTAGCTAGACCAGATCACTAAATCCAGTGTTGGCAGAAGCCCTGATTTGAGTGAGCAGACCTAGTTGACCACTGGCAGTCATTTGGATCTCTCTCCTATGAATGCTTCTATCAATCTGTGATTCAGGCAGCTAAGTAGCAATTCTTTTTCATAATTCCATACACTCAATTGTTCTCCTTGCAATTAGTGTGCTGGGCCTGGCTGGAGTGGACTTTCTTCATGACAGCTGATAATGTGCTGCGCTTTGCACTTATTAATAAAACAGAAGGTGAGAGTAACCCATCCTGTTAATAGATCCTTTGGGGCAGATTGGAGTGAAACAAGGCTGAATGACTGGTGTTTTTAAACATACACATGTAGGCTTTATTGTAGAACAATTTGGTTGCACAGAAAAACTGATATATAACTAGTTAAAATATAAAAGCATAAAAATAGCACTTAAGAAAATTAATTTTCTTAAACATTAAGAAAATGTTTAAGAAAAAGAAGGAAAACATAAGAGTAGAAAGGCCTTACCACCCATAGGCCTCAAGACAAGACTTGTTTGAGGCAATTTTGATGTCTGTTGAAGTGATGGTCACCATCTTGGTCAAAGTGACAGTTTCAGACTTGATCACCAGGTGATGGAGGAAATCCCAGTGAAATCCACAGCACAGGAAAGCTATTTGGTTTATATCCATTCAGGTAGGAAAGCCCGGGTACCTCCCTTGGAGTGGGGAATTTCAGCTGGATGATGCAATGTGGATCATGGGACACTTCTGGAGTCTTTGACACCTTCTAAGATACAGCTGCTTATTTCATCAATGAATTTGGGTTCCTTAAGGCCCATTATGGCCCATCAACAGAGACTGATACCTTCAGGCTATGTGTGAATGCCACAGTACTTCCCTGAAGGGGAGTTATCACAGCTGAGTCACTTGAGTAAGGACAGAGACAGAGTAGTGTGCCTCTCAGGATTTCCCTCTGTCCTTATCTGGTTCAACACCAGCTGTAGCCTGGGGTGTCAGGTGTGCTCTCCCCCTGCACCTGAGAGGTTACTTTGCACATCAGCAGCTTGTCCCCAATTGTTTGAGCCGTCATCATTCCAATCTCTCTTCCAGTGTCACTTCTGGTGTGCCCCCTTTTTCTCATCTCAAGTTCTCCTCACAGTCCAAATTCTGGTTAGTAGGCATATTTAGGGAGATGTGGGTTGATGGTTGCAGATGAACAACTGTATCTTTGCAGTTTTCTACAGAGGGCAAAAGTCCTCTTTCTCCTCACAGTCCAAATTCTGGTTAGTAGGCATATTTAGGGAGATGTGGGTTGTGATGGTTGCAGATGAACAACTGGATCTTTGCAGTTTTCTACAGAGGGTAAAAGTCCTCAGATGATTTTAGCAGTGTTTAAGCCATTATCCATTTCAGTCTTTACATGTTTTGGATGACTAGGGCACTGGGTACATGAAAAGAAAAAGGTTTAAAAACCTTTTTAAAGATTTTTTAAAAATCTTTTTTAAAAAATGGTTTTTAAAGCTTTTTAAAAAAATTTAGGAAGATATGTTTTATAGTGATGTACTGGCAATTCTCTTGAACTTTCTGTTCTATTTAATCTGGAAATTAAGTCTTATACACTCGTGCTGGTCTGTAATTGAGAACTGCATCATAAATGTGTCAACTATAATGCTAAAAAAGCAAGGTCTTTTTCAAATTAGAATTAAGATATAACGGAATTTCAGCAAAAAATTATTGAGAACTGAAAGTGAAATTTTACTTTTCATTACCAAAAGGGTATTTTTTTCTTTCTGTGGTTTGTACTTAAATATATATCAAATAAAAGCCTCTGCCATTTTCATTGCACTGAAAATTAACTGAAGATTTCTCTGGAAAGAAACCAGGTCAAAATTAGGAGCTCATCATTGGACCTTTGGAAAAAAAAAAAAACCAAACCAACTATCTACATTCCTTACTTTTAAATTCACTTAAAAAAGAGGAAGTCAAAGACTACAGAAGTTATTGACAGACTGGAAAGATTGTACTGAGATCCACTTAAAATGAAGGTTTAAATTTATAGTCTGAGTTTCCATGATACCTCATTTCACTCTCAAAGTGCAGTAATTATATTGGCAATGTAGTCAGACTTAAGTAGTACAATATTAAACTATGTAATTCATAATCCAGTAGATAAATTTAGGAGAAGGCAAGCCAGTATTAACTTGTTAAAAGGAAACTATCATGAAGCTGAAAATTAAATAATAGAACCTGCAATGTTGCCATAGAAACTTTTTTGCTTCTTTGATCTTCCTGGAACCATCTTCTAAACTAAAACGGTTCATATTTCTTCATTCAAGTGAAAAAGGAAAGACGAGTGTCTTGGCTAATATAAGAACTTATTTCATGTTATAATAGGTAATAATACAGGTAATAGTAATATTATAATAAGAATACTTAATAATATAAAAAAACCACTTTTTAATGTGTGTTCCTATTGAACACATAGAGAAAACATAATTTATTCTCATTTTTATTCTTAAGGGATTTGGAGAGTGTGAAAATGTGGTGGCATCCTTGAACCTTGTTACTGCTGAAGTTTTTTAGGTAATTTATTTGAATTGTTAATTTACAAGCTTATAAAATATTTTCCCTGTGACTTTTGATAGCATTCTTTACAGAGAGTAAGTTAAAAAAGAAGTTAAGAAACAAGCAAAAACTGTATTAGGAGGACCTTTTTTCAGTTATTCAAAAAGTATAAGAAACTACTTTTGTGGCTGAATGGTGCCACTGTTGTCCTCAATTTTCAATTTTTGAATGCATTTTAAATAAAACCCTTTTAATGTTAAAAAACCCCAAGAAAATTAGTACATGTAAAACAATACAGAAACACTACAGATAATTTATTTACAGGGGGGTGTGTGTGTCTGTGTATGTATTTTTTTACATGATGTGATAAACATATATATAATTGCAGAATCAAAAAAAAGAATGCCTGAGGTTGAAAGGGACTTCTGAATAACCTGTGGTCCAACACTTCTGCTCAAGCAGAGATAACCTAGAGCCATTTATACAGGACTCTGTGTAAACAGTTTTAAATAATTCCAAGGATTCTGCCAGTGCTTAGTTCCCTAAGAGTATTAAAGTGTTTCCTGATGTTCAGAGGAAACCTGCTGTGTTTCAGTTTGTGCCCATTGACTCTGGTGCTCTGGGCATCACTGAAAATAGCCTGGATCTCTCCATTATGAACCTTCTCTTCAGGTATTTATGAACATTAGTAAGATTTTCCAAAGGCTCCTCTTTTCTGGGATAAACTGACCCAGCTCTTTCAGCCTTCCCTTATAGGGGAGGTGCTCTGGTCCCTTCATCATCTTTGTGAGCCTTCATTGTATTCTCTACAGTATGTTCATGTCTCTCTTGTACTGAGGAGCCTAGAATTGGAAACAGCTCTCCTGGTTTGACCTCTCCAGTGCTGACTCTAGGGGAAGAATCAGTCTCCTTGACTTACTTACAATACTTTGTGTGATGCAGCTCCACATATCATCTGCCTTCTAAGGCAAGGGCACAGTGCTGGCTCCTGTTCTGCCAAGCTGCTTTCTAGTTGGGTGCCCCACAGCATCTATTAGTGCATGATTGTACATTACACATACGCATGCATATACAAATATTCATAAGAATTTATTTCATTCTTTATAGTAGAATGTAGTTAGGAACCCTTTTCTTAGAAGTGAGAACCTATAGTAGTGGAAAGATATATCCAATAAAATACGATTAGAACAGCTGAAGGTGTTCTTACCTAGTTCCCTGATGACTTGTGATATAGTGGTTGCCATTCCCACCCATCAGGGAGCAAAACAATTCATCTAAATCCTCACTAATTGTGTACAGACAAAAGTCTAACCTTGTCTGCAGCTGAAGCTGAAACATTAACTTCTGCCCATGAAGAAAAATGGCATAGAAGAGATTAGGTGTATGTCACCAAATTCTCCTTTTCTTTCTTTCCACATTTCCCAAAAGACAATAATTTATTCTATGTTTGTATCTCCTGTTCCCTGATTCAAACTGTACCTTGAAACACTCAATGCAATGCAGCAGCATAGTTGAGCCTCTGCCTGTTTTGATTACTAATGATGCAATCACGTTTACTAAGATGAAAAGCTGTTTTTTGCTATT